CTCGTCCCTTTCAACGAAGTCATTTTGAGTTTTTAGACGTGCAATAAACTACCGCGAAGACGCTTAATTTATTGGTTTTACACTTCTCAGCCGTACTAGGTTTGTAGTTCGCGTTGCTTAAAGTTGAATTTTGGCGCGCTACGGCGACGTACTCTCCCCAAGCCTCGTCAACCACGATAGCCGTAGCAGCGCCAGCCGTAGTGATTTGCTTAAACTCCCTAATATGCCATGAATGACGCCATGAATATGACATGAATGACTTACTCCCTTCACACGATTTACAATCTTGATAGACTAGTGTTGCCAACTGCCCATTAGCCAGCGGATTCTATCAAAATAGAACTTAGTTCCCCACAGTCTAGAGACAAAAACATGTGCTCGTCTGACCCGCCATCTTGTTGTGTTATTGCATAGTTTTCGGATCGCTAATTAAAACCTTTGCTGTTCCCGCTCGTTGTCCAACTTTTACTTTGTACGGATAACCTTCACCACAACTAGTGCACTTAGGAATGGTTTTGCATATCCACTTTTAACAATAATTATTCTGATCTATCCACTGATCAGCTTCTGATCGGGAGTAGATGTGTAAATACGAGGTCAATCCAAAAGATAGTGCGTTCCAGCCTCCTCACGGCTACCTGATTTTGGAGCATCCACTCTAGTCACAACCCTAAATGAAGGCACTTCATTTAGGGTTGAACTCCTGTTCAGTTCTCTTTCGCAGCATTGACAAGACAGACAAACAAGTCAAAAGTTTCAATTTATTGGGTTAAGTTTCATTTTACTTGTATTTTATTTCCTCAAGGAAGTGAAGACCACTAAAATGCAATCTTTCTACTTATTATATTAAGCAATCTGTAATTTTCATTTGCATGTGTCATCATAAGGCTACAATGAAAGGTTTTCATTATCAGTCACTACATGGTCACCAATAATAACCAAACACAGGTGCCCGACTTATTATGGATCCTGCCCTTCAAAAGAATACTCGATACACCAGACTCCCTTGCAAACAGGACCATACCAGGCGGTGTGCGCACTGGGATCGCACTGATTCATGGGTGAAATTTGACATCTAAGTCATTTGCATGCAGATCCCGTCAGGTAAACATCTCTTCGGGGGCTAGCTGATTTAATGCGTAATGGGAATCAACTGTCTCTGGCCTTTTCTGGAAAAATTCAGCAGAAAAGTCAATTTGCGTGAGTTTTCTGGCCAAACTGCGGCTGTTGGATACATAGGGCTATGTATTTGTCCATAAGTGAACGTGGAAATTGAGAGGGGTGAGAAATTTTAGTGATGATCCTTTTACTGCGTTTAGAAAGGTGTTTTTTCGATGATAAAAGTCCAGTATGTTTTGTTTTCAATTGAAGATTTGATCTTATATTTCAAAGCTATCTACGGACGGTGACGAACGCCGGCATAAGGCCATTTGTTGTTTGATCGCCATATTTACCTAAGAGTTAACCATGTTCAAATGGTTATATCTGAAGATACACTGGGGAGCATTGGGGAGCGTTTATAAACAGGGTTAGAACAAAGATAAAAGAAGCTTTTTACACCTTTTTTATCATTCAAACTACCAGTGGTAAGAGATTCTAAGCTTTTAAGAAACGGTGTCAATTTCACAGTAAAATAGTGTAGATAAAATGGGCTATTAGAAACAAAAGAGCGCTTTTCGTATGAACACAAAAACCATGGTTTTTAACTGTTGGGAAGTTCAAAGTGACATTTCGGCAAAAAAACCAAAGAGATACTTGCTGTTTTAGGTCGAAAATGCTTGCCAAAACTCACCAACTTACCAAGTTTTCACCGCCATCTTGAAAATTGTACATCCACAATGCATTGCAATCCTAGTGCGCACACCACCTGGGACCATACAGTGGTGCCATACTTTAGAACTTTTTCAGTTCTTTTCTCGCCTAGGGTTTAACTTTAGTACGCAGGCATAGTAGTTTGTAACTCATCATTTTCATCTTTGTAAAGTCTGGATTGTTGTGAGTTGTAATTTTCTTGCCGTTGTACTGAGTGACTTTACATTTGCAGTTAATAAAATCAGGTCCTATTTCACAGTGAAATGTTGTACTAAGAAATGGAAGAAACCACCACACCGGTACACAGTGGCAATCCTACATGGCACGACAAATGAGCACATACACGATCTCGAGCCCGAAGTCGTTTCGGCTACTCAATGGCGGTTAGCTGGAGGAGACTAAAGCGGGTAGCTAGGTCACGTGCAGTTTTGAAAGAATCGATACTCTTCACTAGTATCGATATTTTTCGATCTGACCTCAGCATAGCTGGCATCGAATATTTGGTGTCGATATTGGCCCGTCCTTACTAGTTTTTCCCATCTAGACCAGCATCTAGACCGATCTTATTGTAACAGTTGCCTAGCTTCAAAAAGTTACAAACAAAGAAAAAAAAATTGGCTTCTTCCAGTTCATAATACTCAATGGGAGAATCATCAAACCTTCACGAGAAAGCAGGTATAAAGAAAAC